TAGACCAGGCCTTGAGTTCTGAACAGTTACATCATTTTTCTAAGATCCTCAGCCAGTCGCTGGATTTGCCTCACTCTTCACCTGTGTGCTACATCATGTTGCAGTGGGCACTCCACAGAATATATGGTGGGCTTCCTCTAACCAAAACTGGGACAATAGGGGCATCAGGAAGGAATGATCACAATAATAAGGGAGTTCAGGAACCCGTTTGGATTAAGGGAGACTAAAGAGTTAGAGTCAAATCCAACATTTTTTAAATCCATGATTGCGTAGTGGTTCTCAAAAATACACAAAAGAATATTAGTACAGAAAGAGTGAATTCTGAAAGCTGCCATTTTTAGAGCTCAGGACCCTGACTGACCCAGGCAGAGATGATCAACAGTTTTCAGACCCAGAGTGCAAGGGTTCTGGAGCAGAGTACTCCTGGGGCTTCTAGTGTCACCCCATAAATGGCTGACTATTTACAGAGGGGAAATGTGCCTTAGTGTCAGACAGGTGGGTGGGCGCCACTTACCCAAACCTTATACTCGACTCTATTCCTCCTAACAACCAGGTAGTGGAGGGGCTGGCACCCCTGTTCGCTGTCCTTGTTCCGTGAAAAGTGCTTACCTGTGGATCTGACCATGGGAGACAGGCAAAGCCACTGTGGCTTCGAGAGGTCAGCCAAGGAGCTGACCTGGACCCCTGAGTGGAGTCACCAGGCGCATGGACCTTGGCTGTGTCACTGGTCATCAGGTTGTCCCTGGCCTTCCCCATGAGTGCTTCTTGGCTGAGAAGAAAAGAGCTCTTGAAGTTCTCACTCGTGTCCCCTTCACCTCTGCTCTGTCACATCTGCTGATTAGGGGTCTCCTTCCTGGACACAGCCCAGGGCTCAGGGGTGATCAGGGAGCACATGTGGACATGAAGTCTTTGTTTCCTCCTACCTAGGGCATTCTGCCATTTACCCCAACATCCCTCCCAGCCTCCGTCAAACTTGTGACCTTTTGATTTTCATTCTGCCCCATGTTCTGACTTCACAGGAGGTATACCATCCTCAGAAGTGATGGCCGTGCCTTGAATGCCTAGATATGCCGTCGCCTTCTGTCCCACACTGGCTGTGCAGTGTCCCTCCTGCACCATTAGAACTTATCCTCTTTGCTCATCCTGCAGGTTCCAGCGTGAATGGCCTGGAGGAGCCCAGCGTCGCCAAGAGGCTGAGGGGCACTCCGGAGAGGATTGAGCTGGAGAACTACCGGAGGTCTGTGAAGCGGGCAGAGGAGCTGGAGGAGGTGCCAGAGGAGACACAGGCCGAGCACAACCTGAGCAGCGTGCTGGACAAGGGCACCGAGGAGGACGTGGCCAGCAGGTCAGCCTGTGCCAGTGGCTCACAGCCACTGCTTCCCCAGGGCTGTGGCCACACCAGAGCCCCCGCTGAATACGCTGTCGGAGTTTGTCCAGCGTGGCATCTGAGCCAGGCTGTCTTGGTCAGATCTGACTGTTCTGCTTTCCAGCTGTGGGACCAACCCTAGGCCAGTTATGTAACTACTCTATGCTCAGGTCCCTCATCCGGAAAAATGAAGCTAATACTAGTGCCTTCCTTACAGAATCAGTGTATGGGTTAAGTGGGCAGATAGGTATATAGTGTGTAAAACAGTACTCGGCACAGGTAAGCACTTAGGAGTCTTTTTGGCTTTTTGTTGTTATTTTGGGTTTTTTCAGTAGTGGGGATTGAACCCAGGGCCTTTACAGTGAGCTGTGTTTACCGTCCTTTTTGATCTATTATATTTTATTTTTGAGACATAGTCTTGTTAAAACATCACTAAGTTGCCCAGGCTGGGCTTGAACTTGTGGTGTTCCTGTCTCAGACTCCTGGAGTGCTCCAACTGCTGGCTGGCAGCACCACAACCAGCTTACCTGTGAGTTATTTGGTGTGGTACTATTTACACTTGGTCATCCTCACAGGAATCTGTAAAGTAGACAAGAACGTGTGTTTTGTCACATGATGGGTAAGGGAATGGGTAGCAACTGAGATTCCGACTCTCCCTGGGTCCAAACCCAGGATTTTTTCAGTTTTCCTGCTGCCCGTGATCTGTTCCCTTCCATTTTGTCTGTCTTATATCTAAGTCAGCATCAGCAGTTAATATTACTGTCATATCACCTTGTAGTCTGTAATGCAGGTATCTCTCACTAAACAGGGCAGAGCCAGTAAAAATCACATCCACAAAATTAATTGAATATGTATACCACGTCTTTAGCAGTTTGTTAATCATTGAGAAAGTAACAGAAAAGACCTAAGCCACAGACTGTTGCTTACAAATTCATTGACAGGAAGAGATTTTCACACAGGGAGAAAAAGAGACATAAAGCAGAGTGTGACTGAGGGTCAGGTGCCACAGAGGAGCCCTGGGTATCGATGGGGGTAACTTACCCACGAGTTCACTATGCAGTCTCAGGGAAGCCCCCTCACATCTCTGTGTGTTCTTTGGGTTACTGCAAGTAAAGATGGGGGCAGCAGAAATCTGGGGTGCCCCAGGGGCCACAAGCAAGTGGTTTTATGCTTAGCCAGTTCCAGTGTTCAGTTCTGTTTAGCTGGGTGATATCTCTGGGTCTGTGCACACTCTGACCCCTACAGGAGTCCAGCGTCTGTTGTTTTTCCTTCCGAGCTTCCAGTGTCAGTAGAGATGGGCGTTTGCTAAGCGGGGAGGGTAACTAAAGAAAGGCTGGCCATCATTTGGTTCACTGAGTTTAAGGATTGGTGCACCGGGCACTTTCGCAGTCGTGATAGAGGGATGTGTGGAGCTGAAGAGAGCAGCACACTTGATTGTAAGGCCTAAGAACGTTTTTCAGTAGTGTTTGCTGGGCAGAGTTCCTTCTAGCCACATCCCACCTCCTGCCCTTTTGTAGACACGCCCTGGATGAACCACTCCAGGCTGGCCCCACAGAAAGTTCCCCTGTGCATTCCAGGGTAGCTGTTCCTTGATACCTGCAGTTCTGAAGCCTCAGTAATTGCAAGTCACTGTCACATAACTCAGCATCACATCCAGAGCACCCATGAGCTGTGGTCCCCCCACCCTACGTTCAGATGGGGGTGCACTCTCAGCACCAGCCTATGGTGGGGAGGGGGAGCCCATATGTCCCAGCGTGCTGATAAACCCTGGAGCAGAGTGGAGGATGCATCTGAGTTAAACATGAAATCAGTCAGCATCTATAAGGCACAGCAAGTGCCTTGTCTTTTAAATTTGGATTAAATAAAAGGCAAGGGCCGGGGATATGCCTCGCAGTAGAGTGCTTGCCGAACCCTCTATGCAGCTTGGGTTCCATCCCCAGCACCACAAAAAAGAAAAAATTTAGAAAGGATCTTTTTAGAAAAAGGCAATGATGATAACAATAACTTATTTGCTTCAGGTGCTATACAGAGTGAAAAATAATCTCTTGAAAGTGAGGAGCCCAGAGGAAGGAGCTACAGGCTTTGCCACAGGAAACAGGCCGAGCCTTGTTTCCTCTTTCCCCACAGTACCAGGCAGGAAGTAGGTGCCCCTTCTGTCCTCAGTGCTCCTAGAAGAGATGTGAGACCAGAAGTTGAGAAATGGCATGGATTTAAGGATTCATCCACTCCAGCCCAGGAACTCCCATTCCATAGTTTAAGAGACTCGCTGAAGTCACCTGCTGTGGAAGGCAGTGAGTGTGATGTTTCAGAATACAACTTCAGACCTGGACTCAAACCCCAGCTGTACTACCTGCTAAAGGGAGGCAAGTGACTTAACTGCTCTGTACCTCAGGGTTTTTTTGTTTGTTTGTTTGTTTGTTTGTTTGTTTGTTTTTGGTACCAGGGATCGGACTCAGGACCTTGCTCTTGCAAGGCAGGCAGCAGGACCACTGAGCTCTAAATCCCCTGCCCTGTGCCTCAGTTTCACCTGCAAAGGGCATTGTCCTTCATAACTTACTCTGAGGAATAAATCAAATAAAGCAGCTGACACCATCTGGCACACGGTGGTCATCAAGTGAAGGAGAGCAGTTGCTGTCACTGTTGTGTCTTATAGGTCCCCGCAGAGTGCAGGTGGCAGGCCAGGGATTTTTGCATTGGTTCCCTTAAATGGTAGGTTAAATGTCAGAAATTAGGTTTGGTCCAAACTCACCATGCCCTGCCTCCTTGGTGACCAGATCTGTCATATCCAAACCACCCAGAGGCCCTGCTGAAGAGCAGCTGCTGGCCTGAGATACTGATTCCCACACTGTGGGGTAAAGCTCAGCAGTTTTCATTTTAAACGGTTCCCAGGTGCTGCTCTAAAGTTTCCAAGTTACCCTGGCTACAAACCCCACCTGGGACACTTAGGAAAAACAAATTCCTAGTCCCTCCCTGAAGATGTGGACAGAGAGGCCAGGAAAGTGTTTTTGTTTTGTTTTTGTTTTTTGGTACTGGGAATTGATCTCGGGGCCTTGGGCTTGCCGGGCAGGCGCTGTGCCTCTGAGCTACATCCCTGGCCCAAGGAAAGTCTGCTTTTAACAGACATCCTGGGTGGGTCTCATTACAGATTCATGATGTAGTACACACAGGCACCTACGAGTCTGTAGCCGTCTAGGCCTAGGCAGCTGCCTGACCTTCCTCCCAGGTGAGTGGGAGCTTGCCTGCTGGAGGAGAGTGAGGAAACAGCACTTCTATTTTTTATGGCAAGACAAAGTGGCCAAAAACAGAAGAGAACCAGCTCTGGGATCTGAGCACAGCTTTTTACTGACTGCCTGTTGGAAGGGATTTGCTCAGCAAGGAGGCCAGCGTGGCCAGTGCCCAGCTGCTGGTCTTTTAGTGTTTACAGATCTATGGCTCTAAAGGATCATCAGTGAGTGCCAGAGTAGGGAGGTTGTTTGCAGAGAGGGTATCCATCTGCTGAAGGATCCCTTGATTGGCCAGCCCTCCATCAGAATAGCACCACAAGGAAGTCATGTCCGAGGGCTGACAGTGAATAAACAGGAATCCCTGCCTGCTCCTCTCCTGCCTCGCCCCTTTCCCCACAGAGGCAGTAACGTGAGCTGCAGGTGATAGGATGTTGGGCTGGCTGAGCACAAAGAGATTTCTACTGTGTTTAGATTGCTGGTCGATGTACCTTTCTGCCACCTGCTCAGCAGTGGAGTGTTCACGGGGTTGTCAGGGCAGGTGGGACCAAGGGCATGGCCGAGCAGGACAGCAGATTGCAGTCTCTGGTTAGAGAAGCGGAAGCCATGAGTCCCGTTTTCCTCTGAAAATTGCCCGTGAGTTTAGGGGGCCCCATATGGAGCCTGCCTTATGCAGGGTGGGGGCTACCTCAGTGACTATTCACACCTTCTGAGGGGAGATCCCGGGCCTGGATCACAACACACTTTCTGGGCTTGCTGCCCTGAATGCCGCACCAAACCACACTTAGGTTCTTGGAGAACCACCAAAGAAGGTTGTGTGGCTGTCACTGGAAATGGGACCCTCCTCACACCTTGGTCCAATTCCTTAAGCTGCAGTTTCCTCATCTGTAAAAATGGGAAAAATACTGTCCCTTATCTGAAATGTTTGGAACCAGAACTGTTTCAGATTTCAGAGTTTTTCAGAGTGTGACATATTTCCATAGACTTCACAGTGGGGTAATCCTAAATTCAAAACTCTGAAATCTGAAATGCTCCAAAGTCCAAATTTTTCGAGAATCATATTGGTACTTGGAAAATTGTAGGCCTTCGAGTTTTACGAATGTTCAGCCTATAGTGAAAAGTGTACCCTGGAGTGTAGCTGAGCGAATGAATCCAAAGTAAGTGCCTTGGCAGAGAAAATTAACCAAAAACAGAAAAAAAGAATTAACAGAGAAAGTGCCACACGCAGCAGAGTCCATCCTTGAGGCTCCATTGGCCTCCCCTGAGACTGTCACCTTGGCTGTTACTGCCCACATAGGCAGAACCTCCACTTGGCTCAGTTAAATTAAGAAACCTTTAAAAAAAATAAAGAGACCTTGTCTTTGTAGGGTCCTAGTCCTCCAGCTTGGCATTGCTTCCTCCTGCCAGGGCTCACTGAGACCATCTCTGTGAGAGAACAGAGGGAAGGCACCTTGAGGTGCATAGTTGTGTATAAATTGTAGCAGGGAGGGTTTGTTGCTATACAGTCTTCCAGTGGAAATAGCTTCTTTTTCTTCTTCTTTTTATTGAGTTTATTGGTACAATCTTGGTATACAATACAGTTACATTCATTACTGGGATCCTGTACCTTTACATGATAGGTCTTGATTCTCATTTTTTCCCCTTGTCCCTGCCCTCCCTTCACCCCTTCCTCCCCTCCCCATTTACAAACACTTTATTTCCATTTTTTCAGTTTCTCATATTTTTTTCCTCTCCCTTATTACGTTTCCCCTACCCTTTCCACTTTCCCTACACCTTTAGCCCTTTACTTCCTATTTCACATTATTAATTATCTCATTAGGATCCTGTGTACTATTATAGTTTTTCACAGCAGAGAAACTATTCGGTATTTCAGTTAAAGAAATCTCTGTATGAACATTAAAAATAGGGAATCCTAAAATAAAACTAAAAAGGAAAGTAAAAGAGAAAAGGCAATGATGTAAGATTAAAATAAACCTTAACTCTGAAGATGAAAATGGTCCCTTAACATATTTAAATTGCTTCTTGCTCTTGTAGTCTTATCTTCTTTTTTTTCCATTATTTAGAGAACACTTTATTAGTTTCTGTAATCAAACCCACGTAGATATGACCTTACATATTTAATACAGTGCGTTACCCCATACAAATGGGAAAAAAAAAATTTAAAAATTAACATTTCTAGACCAATATGGCTGTCCATTTCTGTACATTGCCAACTCAACCCAGTAAATTGGGATAACTTTCTCCAAAGTTGAGAGCACTGTTAAAGTTTCCAAAAATTCAAGTTATATATATATGTATATATTTATATTTATATAAAAAGACCAGTAATAGCAGTATGTTATGCATCAAGAGCAGCAACAGCTTTTCCAGGTTCTGCAGTCATCTGAACAAAATTATAGACATTCAGCACATTCCATTAAAAAATCAAAAACAAAAAAACAAAGAAAAGAATAATATCCAGAAAACAGCACAGTTCTGTTGCTATTGTGGTACCTGGCACCATTTTTTTTTTTATTAGCATCTTAATCATCATCTGGAAAGAGAACATTCTAGAGTAATATCATTAAATATAGCTCTCATAAAGCACGGTCACTACTACATATCATAAAGCAGGTACTAGATATTTTACATTCACAGAGGCATGACACAGTACCGTCCTACATCAATAACTCTAGAATCAGTTTTAGTTTGAAATTTGCTTTGTCTACAAATAAGATTGCTGCCCCTGTTTTTTTCTGGGTTCCTGTCACATGGAGAATTGTTTTCCATCCTTTCACTTTCAGTCTATGGGCTTCTTTTTGCACTAGGTGTGTTTCTTGTGTACAACATATTGTTGGATTTTGCTTCTTATTCCATTTTGTCAGTCTAGGAAATAGCTTCCTCTGACAGGCTTTAGAAAGGTATCTCTGGTTGGTGTCCTCTATAACACCTCCAAAATCAAGGTAGGCCTGCCCTGCCCTCACTGTGGCCCCTTGTGCACTCGACCTGCCTCAGCTGCACTGGGTCCTGTATAAAGGACTCCAGGGAGAGAGCAGCCCAGTACCTTCCCCAAGAGGGTGCAGACCACATCAGTCTCACCAAATGCCATATTGTTCCAGGGCAAAAACAGATGCCTGCTGTGAGAGGAAGATAATGTTAAGGGCTGGCTTTTCTGGCTCTCATCTCTACTATAAGACTGTACACTGATAAGATGCCCTTTCTTCCCACAGGGAAGAAGAAATTGGTCATCTGTATTTTTTTTTTCCTGGTATAGTGATTGTCTCTACTTACTAAGTTTCCAGGCTGTAGTCCAAGGGAGTCTGCCTCATTACAGATTCCTCCCTCCCCTGCACCCAGAGATTCAGGACCTGGGGCAGCCAAGGATGCTGGATGAACCTTGCCATGCTGGATTTATACCTTGAATCTTGCATGATGTAGGTGGCCTGGCCAGCCCCAGAAACTGCCCAAGTCCTGTGAAGATGGCACCCTGGAAAGGACCAGTTATTGCACCTTCTGAGTTTCCTTTTTCTGCATACAAAGAGGAAGCCTACCCGGCCTGTGTTGGGTCTCCCAGAGGGAGTCACAGAGTCTCTTGGAAGTAGGCAGAGCTAGGAGCTTATGAAAAGAGGCAGGGGTTGACCTTCCCACTCTCTTTTTGCATATCCTATGTGCCTCACTTGCTCTCACAGTCATTAAGGTGTCATAAAACTAGCCAGAGTGGCACTAATAGCCATGAGTGGGCCTCATTATCTTCCTGACAGGATTTATTTGTTACCACATCATTCACAGTACAAAAGTCCCATGACATGGCACGGGCACAAACACGCCTGTGCTGAGGCCTCTCCCAGGAGGCTGCAGCCCGGGTCCTTCCAGCCTGCTGACCATGGGGGAGCCTTGAACAAGCTGAGGGTCACACTCAGCCACAGAGGAGGGAAGGATTCCCTTCCGTCTGCTCTCTGAAGGCTTAAGATGAGCACTGAGGCTTCCTCATCTGTATTTCATGTTTGAGCAGTATGAAATGACATGAACTGGGTTAGTCATTAATGAGAAAATGAACTAACAAAAACAAAGGCAGAGCAAATTTAATGAAGGTAAAGAAAATATTGAAAACCCAGCTGCCTAGCTCTCCATGGTCCAATCCTTATGTTACCTGTTTTAAACTGCATCCACCTAGCCCCCTGCCTACTGCACTTCTGCTCTGCCTTGCTTCATCTTGATGTCTTATCTCCCTCTGGCAATGAAGCTCTTTTTATTTTTGTTTTTGTTTTGAGACAGTGTCTCACTATGTAGTCTAGACTGGCTTTGAACTCACAATGTAGCCCAGGCTGGCCTCAAACTAGCCGCAGTCCTTCTGCCTCAGCCTCCCAAGTGCTGGGGTTACAGGCGTGTGCCACCACGCCCAGCTGGGAATGAGGATCTTTTCTAGATCATCTTTGTGTTCTGAATGTTGTTAAGCAGGTGCACTATAAGTAGAAGACACTCAGTAAATTTCTCTCGAGTGAATGAATGGAGAGCAGGACTTACCAAACTGAACTTACAAGAAGGAGCCAGCTCTTCTGTCTCTTGTCTACTGGCTTAGCCTTAGTGGGTACTCAGAAATGTTTATTGAATGAATGACTGTATAGATGAGTCAACAAGCCAGTGAAGAGCTAGAACCCCCAGAGTATAACACAGGTATGCTGAGAATGAGTGGTTCCTGATCTTCACAGCACTCCTGTGAGGCAGGTATTCCATGACCTCCTGAGGTCTTATCACCAGAACAGCAGAGCCGCATGGGAGGGAGTGGCCAAGCAGAGAAGTACATAGGTAGAATCTAAGAAACTACCCAACTTGGAGCTTCCCTTGTCCTGCTTGCGTGCAGTCAGGCAGCACTGCTTTCTTGCTGTTGGTGTTTGACAGTACACACTGATTATCACTCGTACCAGGCTGGGTGTTTTGAAGTTTTCATTGTGACTCTTACATAGGCAGCGTATTGTCTGTTTGAGAATCCACGTGGTTATCTCAGTCTCTAAGTCAGCCAGTACTGAGTTGCCTAAAACCTGTACCCTAGACCATATCCTTGATCTTCCTGGTTCACCACCTCCCGTATTAAGAGTACAGACTGGGGGCCGGGGATTTAGCTCAGTGGCACCGAGCCTGCCTTGCAAGCACAAGGTCCTGAGTTCAATCCCTAGTACTTCAAGAAAAAGAGAGAGAACAGGCTGTAGGGAGTCATCTCCCTGGGTCCCATTATTAGACTCCACCCAGGCCCCAGGCCAGCAAATGTCCTGTGGTCTCAGGAGAACATGGGGTTGGGAGTTAGAGGTTATCTCCCTGAAGTCAAGGTTACAGTCCCCACTACACAGCACCATAGCACTCAGAGCAAATACTATGGTCTTAACCACTGCGCACGGGCTATGCCCTCTCACACCCAGGGCTGGGAGGAAGACTGCCTGGGTAGAGAGACGACCCCACCTTCACAGGAAGCTGGGATGGACTTGGCACTCACTCCACTGAGCTTCTCTGTGACAGCCACATCATCCCCGGCCCGGGCACGTGCCACTCTTCACAGAGGGCAGAGTCTTCTGAAAAAGATGCTTTGGGAATTACCAAACTATTTCGCTTTGCTAGAGGAGCACACAGCACTGAAGGGGGTGGGATTTTATTCATGTCCTGCTGCTTGTCTTCTTCCTGTGCAGGGCCGGGAAGGGGACATCCTAGAAGGTGGGGGTTGGATTTTGACTTCTGTAGATTCTCGCACACACTGCAGCCTGTGCCAAACCTTGAACTGAGCGGGCATGGGCTGTAAGGGCTCAGGTGTGAAGAGTAGCCGCTTGTTGGGTGTGTCAGGTGTCTGCAGAGCCTTTCCTGGCGGCCTCTGTGCCATGGTGTGCAGTGGGCAGGACCTTGCCTACCACTTGCCTATGTGTGCAGCTCAGGGATTGGCACATGGTGGAGTTTCAGGGAGCCCATGAAATCTAGAAGCTGCTTCCTCCAGCCCTGGCCCAGAGCACTCTGCTTGGCAGCCTCTTGCAGCTCCTTCTCCATCCCCACCAGGCTTTGGTTCTCCCGAGAAGCTACTGACCGAGCCAAGTAGCGTAGAATTGACTTCCTCAAGTGGTTCAGGGTGAAGGAGGATTTTTCTCTCCATTCTGGATGCCTGGGATTATGGGTTTATAGCAAAACCAGTCCATCACTCCCACTGTGCCCTCCAGGCCTCTGTGAACCCTGACTCTGTGGTCGTGGTATTCTGTGGGCTTTGTGTGGGTGCTCACTCAGGTTTGTGTGGCATCCTGTTCCCCTCATCCCTCTCTCCTGGACAGGCGGGACATGCTCAGCTGGTGCTTTGCCAGGACGCTTTGGCTCTGCACCATCCCCTTCCGCGTATCGTCCTTCCCTCACTCGACCGTGTGGTTGCTTTTGACAGCAGTTCTGAGTCAGAGATGGAAGAAGAGGAGGAAGAAGAGGAGGAGGAGGACCAGCTGCCCACCTCGGACCTGGGCGGTGTTCCTTGGAAGGAGGCGGTGCGGATCCACGCCCTTCTGAAAGGAAGGAGTGAAGAAGAGCTGGAGGCCTCCAAGAGCTTCGAGCCTGGGGAAGAGGAGGAGGAGGATGAAGAAGAAGAATATGAAGAAGAGGAGGAGGAGGAAGAGGAACCATCCAGTGAAGGTTAGAAAAGTCTCTCCTGCCAGCCCTGACCCTGTCCTACTTATGCATCCGGGAGGTGTCAGTGGCTCAGAGTCACACAGGCGCCTCTCGCAGAGCCTGAGACCCTGTCCCTGCCATCCCACCCTTAGACGCAGGACAGCCCCTGGCAGTGGGCGTAATTCCATTGTTCACATTGATATTTGTGTATTGGAAGTAGCAGTCAGGGACTAATACAAAGACTATTCAAAGCAGATTATTTATTCCATTCATTCACTCTTTTTTGCCTTCAATTAGAGAAATTAATTAGAATGAAGCAGGGGAATGGAGTTTTCTCGAAGAGTCCCTGATTCCTAGTCTTGGATGATGGAGGCTGCTGTGAGCTTAGCTGTCCATTGGATGAGGTTCCCTCAATGATACTTAGAGTAGTTCTTGGGGCTATAAGTCCTAGAAGGAACTTAGGTTCAGTAGTCAGTCATTTTAGTTGGCTCTGAAATACTCTCTTGTCTTGAACATGGGATTTTTTGATTCTGTACCTCTCTCTGGCTCTGTGACCACCAGTACAAGGAAGCCAATTTTTGGGTCCCTCTGCCTGCCTGTGTAGAGAAAGATGATCGTTCTTCCCTTCCCTGGCCACACACGGGACCTATGGGGTGGTGAGGAAGAAACCAAGGCAGGTGGAGACTGGATTGTCCACCATGCTCCATCTCTTGTGGGCATGGCGCTGAGAGCAAGGACACAGGCCTTCGCGTTCCTGGGCCCCGGGAATGAGACAGAGGAGCAGATTAATGCTGCACCACACGGGAGACTTGGCACACAGTTGCCCTGCTGCTCCTGGGCTTCTCTTTGCATTTCCTGGAATCTGACATGCTGCTCAGGCCCATCCCAGGGGCTGTTTCCCCTGTTTTCCTTCCCAGACACAGGGCTCATGTTTCCAAGCCACTCCCTAGAGGGATCTAAGGCCCTGATCCTGACAAGGCAAGGTGGATGGGGAGAGGCCCTGGCGTTGGTCTGAGTCTTCAGGGTTTGAGCACATCCTCAGAAGCTTCTAGAAAGCTTCCCTGCCGAGCCTCTCTCCCCTCTAAAGTTGGAGGCTCATGCTGGGGCAGGATCCACTGCAGAAATGGCCTGTGCTCCCGCCAGTCAGTTTCATGAGACACAAGTGAGGTCTGTGTAAGAAAGAGCCCCCGCCCCTTGCTGGAACCTGAGTTCTCTCCACTCAGCTGCATCTCAGAGGCTCAGCACTACCTCCATGTCCCTGCTGTCAGAGCGCGAGCCTGTTCATGTCTGAAGCAGGGGAGGGTGTTTTGTTCGTACTAGCCCAGAAGTCTTATCTCCATGTGACCATTAATGCTTAGTGGCTATTAACCCTGAAACAGCTTAGGGCCAGAGCTTGTTTGTTCCCTCTTTGGAAGAGTGCAGCCATCTTTCTCTCGTGAGGACAGTATCCCGATGTTGGACCTAAAGGCAAGACCATACCTGTAGGGAACAGAGTTTGAACTAGAAAAATACATACCAACAAATTCAGCCCTACTCTAAACATTCCCAGGTGGAACCCTGTGTCCCCAGCTTGGAGTGTGTGTTGTCTTCTGGGAGGCAGACTTTGATACCTGTGTGGATGGCAACAGACACTACTGCCTTGTAGCTGAAGATAACTCTGCCCTCTTTCCTTCCTTCTATTCCCTTTTCTCTCTGTTTGTCCCCCTGCGGGATTCTTGATGCTGTTGGTGGGTGTCTGGCTCCCCCTGTTGTAGAAGGGGAGTATTGCCCCTGGGACAGAGAACTCCTGCAAAGCCAGTGGCTCCAGCATCTCTCAAAGGAAGAAGAAACGGGTACATGTAAAGGTACCCACTTTGCCTCTTGCCCACCTTTACCCTAGCTCCCTAGTAACGATCCAAAATATGCCCCCAAGAGCAGGTCCCACATGAAAAGGTCTGTGAAGAGACATTCCATAGGCTTTGCATATACCTAACTGGTGCCTCCCCAGGGCCCAGCCTTCCCAGGAGAAGTGCAGAGGAGCCTGTGGGTCGACAGCCACAGAAGCCTGCAGGAGAGTGTGTGGAACGTGGCCTCCTCTCTACCCCTGTAGCTTTTGCTGCAAGTTCTTACCATTAAGATTGAGTTTCTTCTCTAAGACGGAGAGCCTCGCAGCATGACCACAGCTCTTCCATCACCTTCACAGGTGCCGTTAGCATTTCTCTGAGACAGGACAAAATGCCGGCTTCGTGCCGTTGCTAAGTCCCCAAGGTTGTGTGTGTTAAGCAGAAAGCAGGATGTTACTCATGGAGGAGGCTCACTCTTCTCTTGTTGCTTCAAAGGTAAAGAAAGGCACCGCCTTTTTCTCTTTCACTTACCTTCCCCAGTTCTAAGCTGCCCATGCTCCAGTGCTAAGATGACTGCTATGATTTGGCCCCTCCAGCATCATAGAGACACGTAGGGCAGCCTTGGGAACTGCGCAAATCTGTGAAAACCAGCAGCTCCAATCAGGAGCCTGTGAGGTCAACACCCTCACATGACAGACAGCAGTTGGCATCCACACTGACACTGAGGCACTCGCTGCCCATGTCGCTTCCCCTGCTCCAAGCTAAGAGGTTGTCATGACACTACAAAGCTAGACTGCCCAGTTAGGTTGCTGAGGGGAGGGGAACAAACACTTCTGGAAGGAAGCGGCTCCTGGCAAGAGCCCCAGAGCCCTTCGAACTGGGTGGCACCTGCTCTTGATGCCTAAACAGCCACCCTCCTCCCCACATAATGTCCCCGTCCCACAAGTCACGGCTGCCCCTTTATCTTAACCCCACTGTGCGGCATGATCCAAGCACTAACAACAGGGGGCCCACAGGACAGGGACTGCATGCCAGTCCATCAGCTCTGACAGCAGGGATAACCGGAAGGGATCGCTGGTGAGTTTGCATCTAGCAGAGGAACCGGGTCTCGTGTCCAGGGAGCTCCCAGGGGCACCAAGTGAGGTTTTAAGGGAAAAGGCTTTGATCACAGAAAAAGCAGAGTTATCAGTCTTTTTCCTCTAGAAAAGGATGCCCTGAACCCCCAGAAATTTGGGGTTTTACAGGATAGAGTCCTGCTCTCTCTCCTGGCCTCCACCTCCTCTGATTCCATCATCCTCCCATGTGTCCCCATCCCAGACCTGGCATGCAGCATGAGGCCTCTTGGAGAAGGGGAACTTTGTCTAATAGCAGCTCTTCCTGCAGAAGCTAATCGCTGAAGTACCCAGAGTATGTTTCTGTCCCGTGTAAGTGGGCTGGCTCTGTCCCATCATTTCTCAGAGGAGAAGCTGTCAGCCTGGCAGGTGGTGGTAAGCATCTTGCCACGTGGCCGCAGGTGATGTCTCCTGCAGATCTCTACTCTGCTAGTGACAGCTGAGTCCACACCCCTTGGAGGGATGGCCCTCGGCGGCCAGTTGTAATCTGCTTTTTCTCCACCTTGGCATTTGGGTTCCTCAGGTGCACCTTAGGATGAAAAGAGCATTAGACTCTGTATCTGGAGGTGGACTGTGCAATTCTCTTTATTGAAATTAGTAGTATATATTAAGCTTAAAATGATTAGATCCAACTGAACCCCATACATGCTTGCACGTGGGGCAGCACGCATTCTCGATTTTTAACTTTCTAATTCATACTGCTCCTGGCAACTACTGTAACTGTTGTTCTGTTTCCTTTCCTTTGGTGTTTCGTCCTCTCCTCCCCTTGACTGTTTATTTTCTCATTCCCTGCTCCCTCTTATCTCTTCCATCCTTTGAACCTGGTCACTTAGCTGGGAACCACAGGCTACAGCAGATCATAAATCCAGCGGATCCCTTGGCGATCCAGGCCGATGTGCACTGGACACACATTCGTGAGAAAGAGGAGGAGGAGAGGATGGTCCTGACCTCCGAGTCCTCCACTTCTAGAGGTAACTGCCTGGAGACCCAGGCCTGTGTGTGGGTGTGCCTCGAGCACCTCCACCCTCCATCCCCTCCCGCTATGGCAGAGGACCTTCCTACTAGCGCAAAGCCACCCGTTTGATCAAAACAGGAGCCCATATGAGATGTTAACCCAGTGTTAATCTGATAGCTGCCCTGGCCTCTCCTTCAAGGATATGTAAAGTTCTTTATGGAATAAGAGGTTTTAGTCTTTCTCCACTGATGCCAGACAGTAATACAAACTTGACCTAGGAACAGCCTCGAACAACCATTGCTCCTGCCTCAGCCTCTTGAGTCCTGGGATTACGGGCACACACCACCACCCCCCGCTCACTGGCAGGTTCTTCATCCACCCTGTAGAGATGCTGGTACTTTCCCTGGCCGGTGGGCTTGACGTGACCGTGCATGGGAAGCAGAGGACGGGAGCGTATTTAGAAGTGAAGCCAACAGAGATGTGTATGAGGGAGGCTCTCAAGTCACCGTGTCATTGTCAACTGTAGATTTCAGCCGAGATGGTCTGTTTGCCAATCAGATGAAAGTGTGCCCTATTCAGGCTAGTTTTAAGAAATAGCCGTAAAAGAGAGAGGAGTCTGGAGGATGTGGCTGCGTGCTGTTCTCAGCTGCTCGTCCTCCAGGTGTGCACGTTGGAGTCAGCTTGCTCTTCCTCTGGCTCCCTTAGCCTTGTGTGTTCTTCAGCCCCTACAAAAGGTGTTCACAAAAGGGTGCTTCCTGCCCTGAGGAAAGAAGCTCAGCCTTTCATGGGACATTTCTTCCTTGCAGCCCCAGATCTTGCCAGGAGGCAAGACCGGCCTCCACTGATGACTTTTGCGGCACTGTAGATGCCCGCAGCTGGACCGGGACAGCTCTGCCACCTTCCTCAGGCTTCTCTCCCCTCTCCCTGTCCTGAGTGCCCATCACACATGCTCCCAGTGGATCATCACCCCTTGTTGGTGCCAGACAGGCCTGTGTTTGTGACATCGTCTCAGCCTCTCTTATGTTTGGACTTTAGGATTGACCCAGCCCTCTTCACTGGGAACACTGACTGCTGTGTAACTCTGATTTATCATCTGTTTTAAATTCAGTGCCCGGCCTCCCCTCCATACGCCGCGCAGCAGTGCAGGCCTGGCTGGAGACGGTCTCTGGAGGTAGTCTGGTGATGTTGGATCTTCCCCACTCACAGTAACCTCTCTCTCTAGGTGGCTCTGCTGGTGCCTTAACACTAGAACCCGGGTCCCACCGTAGGTGCATGTGAGGGCGGAGCCAGAAGTGGGTGGGCACTGCATGCCTCACCCGGCAGCCTTCCTGCATGGGCCAGAAGCACCTCCCACACTCCAGGGCCATGGAGAAGGACAGACATAGCCTTCTGCTCACCTAGGTTGGGACAGAGGCCACAGCTGAAGGAAGCTTTCTGTACAGATTTCAAGAATGTAGAAATTAAGTTGGGTGAAAGCTATGGGAGTATCAGAGAAGGAAAGGGGCAAAAGTCAGGTAGATGTAATGAGAAATGACCAGAGCAGAGAGCAGGGCAGCGCACTGGTGTGTGCTGTGCAGCTAGAGCTTGGTGCCATCAGCTGGGTCTCCAGACTGAGCTGCAGGTGTCTCTTTAAGCACTTACACCACAAGATAATCCAGAAACCTTAGTTGTCTTAAACTTTTCTGGAAACACATTCCTCCATGAAGAGCTGCTGGCGTTTTGGGCAGATGGTTGTTCCACTCAGGGTGTTCAGTGTCCTTGACCTCTGCCCTCTCAGTGTTGCATAGTGCCCGTGCCCACCCCAGTCACAGTGACTAGCACAGACTCTGTGCGTTCCCCAGCACTGCCTGAGGAAGGGTGCCTTTGCCTCCTGGCAGAGAACAGCAGTACTTTTGGGATGGACTGGCACGTGTGGCTCTTTACCACCAGGCTCCTCCCAGCTCAGCCTACTGTCCTCGGTCATGGCAGGACAAACACACACGGATGGGGGCTCCATCACAGGCCATAAGAGAGTGCCACTGGTGTCCAAGTGAGCTGGCCTGGAGTCGGCAGCCTATGACACGGACTGCTGGGACCCTAGTCAGTGTACACCCCAGATGGTGGGACAGGCAAAGGAGTGGACTTCTCCCCAGCTTGCCATGGAAGTGGAGCTCATTCCCAGCTTTCATAGCGCGTGACCGCTTCCAGCACTCTGCTCTCCATTCTAACCTGGATTCCATCCCCCAGACCATCGCTCAGGCTGCATCTCTTTCGGCATCTGCTGCTGCTGCTGCTGCTGCTGCTGTTGCTGTGATAGTTCTTCATTTGTTTTTCAATATTTGTAATAATCATTCTTTCCAAGGTCCTGGAGGAATGTTGCCCCCTCCCACACACCCCTCCTGGCTCTACAGCAGACATTTCTTAGATCCTCCAGACTGGAGAACCTGTGGAGGACCGAGGGTCCAGGACAGGGACAGGCTAACAGGGGCAGACTGGGGAGCCCCGGGAGGGCTCTCTTCCAGCTCACTTCCCTGCAGCAGTGTGAGATGACCACTTCCACGCCAAGCACTCTCTGATTCATTCAAGCAAATGTGTCAGGCACAGAGCCTTGATCCAGAAGAGGAGTGTGACGTGTTCTGACCACGGAGGTCTTTTGTTCTCAGACATGGTGTAGTGCGGCGATGAGCTTGCTGCCCATGTGCAAAGCTCAAGTTGGAGGAGAGGTCCATGGAAGACCCTGTGGCTTTTTAGTGGGACTTTTGTTTGTCCCTCTCAGAAGTCCTGCTTCATGGAGCTCGATGAACTGTCTTCCATGAGTGGCCAGAAGCAGGGTGGTCACTCAAAAGCTTTAAGCTGCAGAATTAACTGAGTGGTCTCCCCAAGTGTTTCCCCAGCAAATGCTATTACTATAGGTAGCACCTTGGCATTGCAGGACCCTGACTGCGACTGCTCTGGTGTCCCAAAAGGACAAGTGTGGCATTAATCATTCACCAACCCAGAGTGTAGCCTGAAGCACGCCCATCCTGAACCCTAGATAGTCTAGTACGTCCCAAACTGTTACACAGTTCTCTAAAAACCAGATTTGAGCTAGCATCTTCTACTTGTGCATAAAAGATAAGTATACAGCTTAAGGAATTATTTTTAGGTGTTGTTGCTGTTGCTGTTGTTGTTGTTGTTGTTTTGAGACAGGGTCTCGCTATGTAGTTCAGATTGGCCTTAAACTCACTATGTAGCCCTGGCTGGTCTGGAACTTGCAGTGATCCTCCTGCCTCAGCCTCCCCAAGGGCTGGGATTACAGGCATGCACCACCATGTCCATTTTAAGGAACTATTAAGGAAAGAAAAACTTGTGTAACTGACATCTAGGTCAGAAAATAAAATAGCCCAGCATCTTGGAGGTGCCTTTCCTAGTCACAGTCTTCCCCCCGTTCATCCCCAAAGGAAGTTCCTTCGAATTTCATTATAATGAAACTCATTATAATGGCCTTACTGGTCACCTGCACCATTGCCCCCAGTCTGTGCCCATGCTGAGGTGCTGGAGGCAGTGGCAAAGCTGGGCTGCAGAGAAGACACTTCTCTGTGGGACAACTGGCCATTATGTAGATCGCCCTCTCCCACTTGCAGTACAGGTTTATAAGAAATTCACCTGGAGTCTAATACTCCTGTATCTTAGGCATGTAATTGATTTTGTTTTCTTTTCCCTGTTTAAAAAGAGAAAGGACCGGGGATTTAGCTCAGTGGTGCCGCTCCTGCCTCATAAGCTCAAGGTCCTGAGTTCAAACCCCTGTACCAAAAAATAAAAAATAGAGAGAGTGGCTGGGGCTATAGCTCAGTAGCAGAGCCCCTGCCTAGCAGGTGTGAGGACCTGGGTTCCATCCCCAGCACTGTTAGGGAAAGAGAAAGAGGAAAGACAGACAGGCTGCTTCAGCAGTTCCTCTGCTCCCTGGCCTGCCTTGGGCCTCCGGCCTCATCTCCTGGCATGAAACTGTAGGAGAGGCTGGGAGCTGGCTGTGCTTGGAGCACTAGAGGAAGCCCCAGGAGCCCCGGCAGCCCCCATATGGCTCCTCCTCTGCCCTGTGGCACAGGCTCAGTAGTGGAGGCTGGACAGATGGGGCAGGAGGGAGCCTGGTCTCATTTGGCAGCACTGGAAGACTCCTCTTGAGTCCAGAAAAGGAACTTTACATATCCCTTCAGCCCAACCCCACATGCTTTGACAGAACATTTCTCCTTATTCTCACAAGAAAAGCCCCTACCAGCATCGGTAGAGTGGGGCCCTCAAGTCCTGCCGGTCATTCACCATGTGACTCCTGGCTGAACAGTATGGCCATGCGCAGGTTATCCAAACCATCCGGACCTGTTTTCTCCCTCAGGGCTGGGCTGTAGAACTGTGTCATTATGAGGCTATATGACTCATGGCCTATGAAGGGGTCCTCTGGATGCCTGCTAGGTCTGGCCTGGCCTGTGCAGCAGCTCTCGCCTCTGACCACTGCAGACTTGAGGCCCTTGTACCAAGCAGCCCCTGGGAGAAGAGGGTGTGCAACTGCCTCCCAGCGCTCCCCTCCCTCCACAGCCCACTCAGATGGAGAAATGGCCCGGGCCCTTTTCAGCCCCCACACTGTTTCCAGAGCATCCCCTGCCTGTCCAGTAGCTGTCACATGACTGCACATTCTGTGTGTCTGTCTGCTTTCTTCTTCTCCTTGACTGTCTCTGTTTTATAGTCCCGTTGGACGAGGATGACCTGGAGGAAGATGAGGACTCAGAACCGGCTGAGATAGAAGGGGAGGCGGCAGAGAATGGGGACCCAGGGGACACTGGCGCCGAGCTGGATGATGGTATGGGGCTCACCTGGGTGACCTCCTCTTCCCCTGTGGGGACAAGGCCACAGTGGTTAGAGCTCAGGAAGAGGCAGAGCATCTGCTTTAAAGCAAAAGCTCTTGTGAGTCTCTGGAGTGGTTCTTCTGCCAGTGACTTAAACAAGGCTCATTTCACCCCCATGTTGAGCTGTGGTTGAGAGCTAAGCGAATCTCAGCCTTTCTGCAGGTCTTGAATCCAACAGACGACTGACAGCAGGAGACAAGGACATTTTAAAAATTAGAATCTTGACAATAGGCAAAGAAAAGCAGGGACTGGGCTGGAGAGAAATGAGAACAGAAGTGGAAGTAAGACGGTGGGGGGATGCAGGCCTCAGCTGTGGGTTGTGGTCAGAGCAAAGTGGAGTTGGCATCAGGCCTGTCCTCCACAGGCAGAGCCGGAGTTGCTCTTCATATCATGTGTCGTGGTCTCTACTTGAAAAGTAAACAAAGCCTCTCAGGCTTTGGGAGACCCCGTGCTTCAGAGGGCAGCACTTTTGGCATCAGGAGAGTGCCTTGGCTGAGTGGCTCAAGAGCTAGGGTGAGCCAGCATGCAGGGTCTGTCAGCAGCTAAGAGGAGGGCTCAGCAGGACCACAGGACCTGGTCTAGACCTCGAGCCCCAGCCCTGCAGTCCAGGGGTCCATTCCCTGAAGAAGAAAGAACTGGAGGAGGAGCACTGCCTGTCTCAAGGTGTACATGAGTTGTGTCTCCCTGCCTCCACCAGATCAGCACTGGTCTGATGACATCCCATCAGATACCGAAACAGAGCTTCGTTTGCGGCGCCAGGCTGAACTGGAAGCAGACCTGGAGCTGAGGGTGTCAGAAAACGAGGAGGAGGAACCATCTGCTTTACCAAAAGGGCAAGAGAGAGGTAGGTCCTCCACTGCTGGTGGCAGGCACACCTCCCAGAAGGCATGCCATGGCCCAGGATCCCCTCCTTGCTGTCCTGCCACCCCCCCCCCACACACACACACACTTGCCCTAGGCTACTGCAAGTGATTTTACCAAGCAGCTCCTTTCCTTCTGTCCTTTGGGACCTGGCTTTTCCACACCACAAGATACTGACAGTAGGGCTAGAGGTTTAGCTCAGTGGCGCCAGCACCTGCCTGGCAAGCTCAAGGTCCTGAGTTTGATCTCCGGTTTCACACACACACAAAAAAAACTGATGGGCACCTGGCGCAGCACCTTCCAGGAGTGCCCTCACTTCTGAGGACAGTTCTCTCTAGAGCAGTGAGGACATGTCCAGGGATGCCACTTGCACTGGCTCAGTGGAACCTCCACTCTCCCACCATGGCATAGGTTGGCTGGTGTATGACACCCTCCACAGAGCTCGCTGGGACCCTTTGTGACCAGAGCTGGTGGGGCTGTTTTCATGTTGTGATCCCTGTGTTCTTCTTTTCAGGTCCCTCCCAGGCCTCCAGCCCCATCCAGACCCCTCAGGAACAAGCTGTTCTCTTCACCCCAGCCCACAGCCCCACAATGGAGATGAAGGTTTAAGATTCATTGTGGGAAAAAGAAACTTATGGGACCCTGGGGGGACATAGTAACTCCTGTCTTAGGGATCAGGGTGTGAGTCCCATAAAAATTGAAGTTTAGTAGTCTAATAGACTGATCCTGAGGAAAACTAACCCTTTGTTCACTCCTCGAGCTAAGTAGAGTGGCAGTAGGAATGGTCTTGGGGGTTCTAGCTTAGTCCTCCTCAAAGATAGGCAAATTTATGTTTAAACTGAAGCGATAATATTCACAGAATCGGGGGTTTATTATGGCAGATATATGGTCTTAATGTTAAAATAACTATAAAGCTATTTAAATTAAAAATGTGCCTCCAGAGTGCCTGTGGTATGTAAAAGAAACCACATCAGAGAATTCTAAGTAAATACCTCATAAGGATGTCCTGTGTGTTGCAGTCTGGGAAATGCCATCCTGAGGACAGATCGTAGAGGAATCCCTGCATGTAGCGACCCAGAAAGCATAGCATAATTCAGAGTGTCTCCGCATGGTGGAGGAACTTTATCTTCTTGAGACACTGGAACAGGGTGACAGAAGGATTTGTGTGCATCGTTGAGGTTCCTTGGAAAGATAATGGACTGTAAAAGAGACTATAGTCAATAGCTGTGAAATCTTCCCGCAGTGCTGGTTGCTGTGTTGGTACCACAGGGGCTTGGGCCTTGAGAATTACTGGCTGGGATGAGAGTGAATTCACTAGTGTCCATCAGGCAGTATTCATTACAGCAGACAAAGAATGTAGGATGTGTTTGAGACAAACCAAACCCTGAAAGCTCAGTCAGTTCATTTAGACTAAGTAGAGGAGTTCTAAACATTGAACAAATAGAGCAGAAGATGGAGAAAGTTCTTCTGGAGCCAAAAATAGCTACAAAGACAGGAATTTATTTCACCACACTAGGTCCTTTGAGAGCAAACGTTCCCTCAAGAATGTTCCTGCCTCCTGATACCCTCCTAACAGTGTCTCTCTTCCGTCTCTGTAGGGAGCCCAGATCCCACTTCCCTCCGTCACCACCAAAGTGAAATCCCCTGAAGAGCGCATCTTCCCTGAACCTGTGCTCCCCCAAGAGAAGCCCAAAGCTGACTCCCCCGTGAATCAGAAAGCTGCCTACTCTCCCATCCGATCACAGCCAGTGGCTCTGCCGGAAGCCAGGACACCTACCTCACCAGTCAGCTCACAGCTCTTGTCACCCGGAGCCCCCTCTGCACCGCCCTCCACTCAGCTCCCCATTTGCTCCCAGCCTCAGCCTTCCTCAGAGACCACCATCCCATCCCCCACTGAATCCCCCATTCGCTTCCAACCTGTCCCAGCAAAAGCATCCACCCCTCTGGTCCCCCTCCCCATGCAGAGCCAAGGTGACCCCAAGGACAAGCTGGGCAGCCCTCTTGTAGTGGAGGAGGCTCTGAAGCGGAGTGACCTGGTGGAGGAGTTCTGGATGAAGAGCGCCGAGATCCGCCGCAGCCTGGGGCTCACACCTGTGCAGCGGGACAAGGGGCCCGAGCCCGCCTTCCCTTCACCTGCCATCAAACCACTGTCCCTAAAATCCTACTCAGTTGAGAAGTCCCCTCAGGACGAGGGGCTCCATCTTCTGAAACCTCCATCTGTTCCCAAAAGGCTGGGCCTGCCAAAGTCTGACGGTGAGCAGCTCTCCCTGCTGACTCCCAAGTCACCGCCTGACAGAGAACTGAGAAGCTCCCAAGAGGAGCGCAGGGACCTGTCCAGCAGCTCTGGCCTGGGCCTCCACGGCAGTTCCTCCAACATGAAGACCTTGGGCAGCCAGAGTTTCAACACCTCGGACTCCACCATGCTCACTCGCTGGGCCTGCCAAAGTCTGACGGTGAGCAGCTCTCCCTGCTGACTCCCAAGTCACCGCCTGACAGAGAACTGAGAAGCTCCCAAGAGGAGCGCAGGGACCTGTCCAGCAGCTCTGGCCTGGGCCTCCACGGCAGTTCCTCCAACATGAAGACCTTGGGCAGCCAGAGTTTCAACACCTCGGACTCCACCATGCTCACTCTCCCCTCCAGCCCA